TGATACAGAATATTGAAAAAGGAAAAATGGCTGGCTTGTAAAAGATTGGTTGGTACTAATTTGAGGTGGTGATTTGATGTAAAAGATTATCTGTTCTTTAAACAGAGATCCTTTAAACAGAGTAAGGATCAGTCAACTGTAACTTAACAATGTTTCTTTAAAATCTTCTACTTGTATATACTTTAATCCTCTTCTCACAAAGAACCTTCTGTTCTAATATTTAATCCCCTAGTTGACCTGTAAAAGATACTATATTCAGATGACAAACATCAATTATTACTTTGGTTTATTAAATCAGATCTTGTGAATTTAATTAGTAGATTCCAGTCATCCTTAGACGGATAGATGACACAAGAACTTACATTTCTAAAGCTCATGACTAGACTTTGAATTATGGTATCTCTGTATTCAATCAGTCAAATATTTGTTGAGTGCATACTCTTTATGTCAGGGATTCAGCAGTGAACCAGGCCCATGTTGTCTCTGTCCTCATGGAGGTTACAGGCTGGCAAGGAAGACAAATTAACAAGCAGTTTCCATCAACATAATAAGTACTATGGGTAACCTTTACCCTTGCTTTACTGTACTTACTCTGTAGTAGCTGTTTTTACCATCTTGCCCTCCGTAAATGTCCATCCACTTGTGTGACTAACAGCATCTTTTTAGAGGGTATAGACATCTCAGGACACCCTAGTAAAGAAAGAGTACAACCACTCTAAATTAGAACTTCATTTTATTTTGGAATCTGTCTGCCAGCCTCTCAGAAATCATGTTTAATCTAATACAGTTTCAGTTTCTCTACAGGGCATCAGTGCACAAATGCTGTAACAAAATAACAGAATTTAGCAATAGCTTTAGCTTTGTATCACTAAGATAAACTCCAGGGTAAGTTATATTTAACCGTACCTTTTTTTTTTTTTTAAGAGACCGATCTTTTTATGTTGCCCAGGCTGTCCTTGAACTCCTGGGCTCAAGTGATTCACCCACCTCAGCCTCCTTAGTAGCTTAGACTACAAGTGTGCACCACCATGTCTGAGTTAACCTTACACCATATTTCATGGCTCTTATTACAACTCAGATTCTCTTCACAAATTGAGGCAAAGCCGTGTTGTCCACCAAATTGCATCTTTATGCCATTTTATGAAATCTTTACCAAATTTTCATTTATGAAATTGGTAAATTTGAGCACTCTTCCAAAACAAAAACCCCCACAACCCTATCATTTGTATGCAGTGAATAATTCCTCTGTATGTACATCTGTAACATGTCCTGATCATATCTTAGAACTGTAGCTTTTATCTTTCATGGTCAGATACCCCATCACTGATAAGTCTGATTTTATGTAGTCTTTAACTTGGATAGCTCCTGAAAACTTTCTTCTTCCTGAATGTTTGATGCTCTTAGTACTTGGTGCAAGCTGTTTTGTTCCAAGTATGTCCAAAACACTGAGAATGCACTTGTTTAAAATTTGGAGGATTCCTATTTTTCATACAACACACTTAAGTCTCTTGTTTTTACATATGAGAAACACTGACCCTGGAAGATTTAAGTGACTTGTTCAAGGTCATACAGAGTCTAGAGGAAGTGAAATTTCTTCCTGATTTGCTCCAGCTACTGTGTTTCATGACTAGGCAGCATAGTAACAGTGTCTGTTATTACCCAGATAGCTAAAATTATTGGGAAATAAATCCACTGAGAGGACTTGGTGTGTTTCTGTTATTTTCATAAACTTCAAATGGTAAGACATTGGTTACTTTTTGCAAAAGCAAGGTTAAAAGACTTGGAAGCCCTAATAATAATCTGAGTTTCTTTTTAAGAGGTTAAAGCTTGATGGAGTTTAATAACACCTGATGCTTGATATTGACGTACCCACAGTGGAATTTTCATTTTCTGATACCTGGTAACAGAAATAATTTAATAATAAGCATATATTTATACATATGT